TTTATGAAGACTATAGTAAATTCATTGTACTATTATAAAAATAATAAAATATGTTTCCATTATTATTTAATTCATTATTTGCACTTTACTTTTTTATCTTACAATTTAACTTAAAATCGCGTCTATTTCCGCCGCGCGGCAAGCATTGCCGCGTCTTGTGTGCAGGAGCCAATATGTCAGAAGAGAAAATACGTCACATTATATACATTTTATAAGAATAAGTGTGGTATTGCGCATGCGCTAAGAGACAAAGAGAATGGTGTACACTTCCTCATACTATCTCATTCCTATTATTCGCTGGCGTCAGCCCTAGTGACGTCAGGCTCTGTCTATTCATACTATGTCTATGGTAGTTACCATCATTGGCGCCATTTCCATTTGTTGACACCTGACAAAGATTTTCAACTCACAACAATACAAGTTTCATACAACAGTATAGTTTTTAAAATCGTTGAACATGTCGAATTTTGTGCCTGGAAGCTACCTGGATTTGCGGACAGCATTGATTTCTGTTACCATTTGAAGAAAACTGCTGCAGAATCGCATCGAATGTTTGTCGAAGCTTACGGTGAGCATACTCTTGGTAAATTACAGTACTTTAAGTGGTTTAAAAAATTCAAATGTAGCGATTTTGACGTGAGAGACGATGAAAGTGGAAGACCAGCGAAAAAGTTTGAAGACAGCGAATTGCAAGCATTGTTGAATGAGGATGACGCTCAAACGCAACAGCAACTCGCGGATCAATTAAATGTGACACGAGAAGCCGTCTTCATACGTTTGAATGCCATGGGAAAGATCCAGAAGATGGGAAAATGGGTTCCACATGAACTGAATGAAAGACAGCAGGAAAACCAAAAAACCACTTGCGAAATGCTGCTCGCCAGATACAAAAGAAAGTCATTTCTCCATCGAATTATGACTGGCGATGAAAAATGGATATATTTTAAGAATCCTAAGCGTAAAAGATCATAGGTAACTCCAGGCAAACCATCGACATCGACTGCAAGGCCAAATCGCTATGGACGGAAGACTATGCTCTGTGTTTGGTGGGATCAGAAGGATGTGATCTATTATGAGCTGCTAAAACCTAGCGAAATCGTTCATACTGAACGCTACCGACAACAAATGATCGATTTGAATCAAGCTTTGTGTGAAAAGCGACCAGAATATCAAAAAAGGCAACACAAAGTGATTTTGCTTCATGATAATGTACCATCACAGACAGCAAAACTGGTCAAGGAAACGATTGAGGCGTTTAGTTGGGAAATACTTTCGCATGCGGCTTACTCACCAGACTTGGTTCCGTCCGATTACTACTTGTTTGCATCGATGGGACACGCATTTGCTGAGCAGCGCTTCACTTCTTACGAAAATGTACGAAAATGGCTCGATGACTGGTTTTCCTCAAAAGAGCAACAGTTTTTTTGGCGTGGCATCCACAAATTATCAGATAGGTGGGAAAAATGTATAGCTAGCAATGGGCAATACTTCGAATAAAATATTTTTTATCATTTTCATACAATAAACGTGTATTTTCTATACAAAAATTCCGGTTTCATATTTACATACCTGGTAGTAGCATGCGACACTATCCAGAAAATACAACTACTTCATTTATTACGGAATTGTCTCAAGAAGTGAAGTTGACTGGTTTATAGGAAGTTGCGCTTAGCGAAATTCAATTCCCCTTTAGTATTTTACACGTGCGTCCCGAGGAAGATGCAGAACTCAAATTGATTTCCTTACCGCGTGAAAATATTAATACCATAAGCGTAAAAAAAGAAGAAGACCAGCTGCCCAAATTCGGGGTTACCCGAATAACCCCGGGTGTTTACGCCACGATGAGCGAACTGTGTAGATATAGAGAATTTACGCCGATTTTGATGAGACTAGGTTTATTCGATGCGTTTCTGCACGAGAAACAACTTTTTCCTCTGGCAAAATCGGCGGTCTGCCCCACGAAGCGAGATATTATACGTTAAAGTTGACAACTATATAGGATGATTGGAAACAGCTTTCGACCCCCTACCCGTACCCCCCTTCGGTGTGTGTGTGTGTGTGTGTGTATACATGCTCGGTACAAATATTCGGCTAGTTATTTCAATAGTCTTATCATGATGTTGACAACATATATGAAAATCAAAGTCAAAGTTACTCACTGTTCTCATGTATTGTATCAATACATGTTGGAACAAAAACAATTCTCGTGTTGTGACGATACAAAAATTATAAGTTATATTCTTCGATCAACGATCGAATACTTCAGTTCATCGTTAGTAGTTTTGTAATTATAATTTATGGAAAAATGAAATTATTTGAATTTCTATCGATGTGTAAGCGCCAAAATGAATTAATAGAATTTTTGCGAAAATGTGACATAATACATACAGAAATTATATGTCCGCGATGTAATAATAAACTTGCTTTAAATATGTCGACATTATTGTTTCGGCGTCGAAAAGTGACTACTATTAAACACAAAAATAAAAAGAAAAAAATTTCACAGTGTGAATTTAAACAAAGTTTCACAAGTGGTACATGGTTAGCCAATACTAACCTCGATATTACGACAATTGTCCGTTTTGTTGGGTATTTTCTGATGATACGTCCTCCGCGCTCTGCATCCTATAAAGAAGAATTAGAACTCAGCGATAAAACTATTGTTGATTGATCAAGTTTTTGTCGTGAGGTAAGTTATACTTCATTTACTAATTATATTTCCTTTTAAAGAAAATATTTTCTATTTTGAACTGTATTTCATCCCAGATGTGCGTTCTTTGGCTTGAAAATCAACAAAACCCAATTGGCGGAGGGGGAATTGTTGTCGAGATAGATGAAGCAAAAATTGGGAAGCGTAAATACAATCGCGAACGTCTAATCACAGGCAAATGGATTTTCGGTGCCTTTGAGCGAGGTACAGGCAAAGCCTTTATTGTGCCGGTCGAAGATCGTACCAAAGAAACATTGTTGAATATTATAAAAAAATGGATTTTGCCAGGAACAACGATAATGTTGGATATGTGGAGGGCATACAATTGCTTAAATGACGAAGGCTTTATTCATTTACCAACTGTAAACTGTAACTGTAACTGTAAACCACTCAATGAATTTTGTAGATCCCGAAACTGGTAAGTAATAAAATGTTTAATACTATTTTATCATTAAATCATATATAAATCACATACTTTTGTACGTATACAATAGTAGACAACAAGAACATAAAGTAATATTGTTATAAGAGCTCATACCCAGAATATTGAACGAACGTGGCGAGAAGTTCGAGCCAATATTTCACGATACGGAACACGAGAAAAACATTTAATCGGATATATAGCAGAATTTTTCTTTAAACGGCGATACAAGTTTAACGACCGAATAGTTGCTTTCTTCGAAGCCATCGGACAATTTTTTCCACCAGGATGGAATACAACTGACCCATGATTAATTCGTATCTATATTTCATACATAAAGCATACATAATTAAGAAATCACATATCAGAACTTAACATTTTCTTTTCATTTTCATTGCGATGTCCTCTTCACTCAATATGTATTTTGCAAGACGAAGTGAAGTTATATAACGTAACCTAAACCAAATTTCAGTTCTAAATAAATCGCTTATTAATCTTTCTTACTGTAAAAAATAATTATTGTTAGTGAAGTATTGGGGGGGCTCCGCCCCCCTGCCTTCTTAAAAAATAACCATTTTTTTGTTCATGCAGGGAAAATCCATCATGGACACCCCCGCCCCCTTGGGGGGGGGGGTTATGTCGGACTCTTACCGACTAAAACCCCTGCGGGATGTCTACCTGTCGGACCGTGAGGAGGGGAGTTAGGGGAACTGCTCCCGCATTCCCTCCCCAACCCCCCGGCCACAGAGCTCTAAACTAAGAGCCCCTCGCCTTCTTGTACCGTACCCCCCTCCCCTTTCGGGGAATTAATGGGAGGGGCGCGGTCCCCGGCGGGTAACCCCGCCGGTTGGCCTTCTGGTGTCTCCTAGGAGGAAGGGGACATCCACCCTTCCTCCTTATTCCCCCTTTCCTGAAAGGTTCAGGGAGAGGGGGGAATTGGGGAATGGGCCCGACCCCAACCGGGTTATCCACCTCCCCTTGTCCCTTCCTACCCGATCATTCGGGGGAGTGGGAGCTAGTCTCCTCGCTTCCCCCGAGTGACGGAGCCTGGCCCGAGCTGGCCGAGGGAGGCGCTGACCCGTGTAGGCCAGCGGTCTCTTCTCGGCCGATGCCACCTCGGGCCCGCTTTGAATCCCCCCCCCCCGGGGAGCGCCCCCCGGCCCCGCCGTCCTCTGCGACGACGTTTACCGGGCCGGCGCCCCCATCCGGCGGCCTCCTTTTGGGAGATCACCTCCCGACAGAAGAAGGCCGCCATGCCTCACGCTTTCTCGTTCCCGCACATAGCTCGCACTAGGTGCGGGAGTGAGAGCTCCCCTTCTCGGCAATCCACCGCCCTGAGTAAGACACGGCGCTGCTCGTCCCATGCTGCGCATGCAGCCAGGGTATGCAGCGCCGTGTTCTCTTGCTCGGGGCAGTGGTAGCATCGAATGATGGGCTCCTTCCTTATCCGGTGTAGGTATCTCCCGAAGCAACCATGCCCGGTCAATACCTGCACCAGGTGGGAGGACATTCCACGCCCCCTCCTGTCTGCCACTTCGGACAGACAGGGACGGACAACCTCGGCCGTTGCGAGACCGGACCCTCGGGGGTCGGCTAGTACGCCTTCCCACCGTTCCAGGGTCCGGTCTCTGGCCTGGGTCATAAGGGCCTTCAGGCCCCTGGCCGTCAGCTCTCCCCCCTTGCGGAACTCCTTCATCCACCAGTAGAGGATACGCCTCTCCTCGGCTAGGAGCTCCACAGGGGGGAGCCGCCAAGGTGGTCGCCGCAATGTATGATACTGCTGAACCCTCGAATCGCCCTGATCATGAGAGGCTTGAGGGCCTGTCTCATGAGTAGTTTGGCCACCGAAGTGGCCAGCAACTGGGGCGCCTAGATGGGCGCCCCGTACAGGACGATCGAGAGAACCGCACCGACATACAGGCGGTGAGCCTGCCATCCAGGGCCCCCTTGGGCGCGCATCAGCCTGGCTACAGCCAGTCCAGCTTCGCGCACCCTGGGGGCCAATTGCCTGAAATGAGGCCCAAATGACCATCGGTTGTCCAACGTCAGGCCGAGATATTTCATCGTCGGCCCGACGTTGGCGTCACCGACCGGGACCCGGGTCTCTGGCGGCGCCACTCGACTGCCATCGTGAAAAACACGGCTTCAGTCTTGAGGGGCGCCACTTTGAGACCCAGGTCCCCGATGGTTCCCACCACTGATGCCACTGCCACCTCCGCACGGAAGCGGGCTTCCCCCCAGCTCTCCGCTTCGACCACCACTAACGTGTCGTCTGCGCAGCAGACTACGTGGCAGCCGTCGGAGAGCGGAGTGCGAAGAACCCGGTCGAAGCCGATGTCCCACAGCAGGGGGCCGAGCACCGACCCCTGCGGGACACCGCGCTCCATAGTGCACCAGCCTTGAACCCCGCCTTCTTTGGTGAAGGCGAGGTCTCTATCCCCGAAGTAGGCGGACATTATCCGCCGGAGATAGGCGGGCACCCCGAAGTGCTTGAAGGCCCGTCCTATCTCCGGCCAGGGCAGGGTATTGAAGACGTTTGATATGTCTAGCGATACCGCCAACAACACCCCGCCCCTTATCTCCACGACCGCCCGGGTGAGGTCCCGGACCTACTGGATTGCATCCAGCGTGGATCGTCCGGGCCTGAACCCGTACTGGCGGTCGTGGAGGTCTAGTCCACTCGAGGACATGTGCTGGACGAGGCGGTCGGCAATGATGCGCTCCAGCATTTTGCCCGCCTCGTCCAGTAGGCAGATTGGCCTTTAGGCTGACGCACTACCGGGTTCCTTGCCCTCCTTCGGGAGGAAGGCCAATTTGGCCCTCCTCCACTCTGGAGGGAGACCCCCTCCCTGAGGCATCCTGTCATGACCCTGCATGTGGCTGTGGACAGGTCCCCTTCGGCCAACGCGAGAGCCCAAGCGTGACCCGGAATCGCATCGGGGCCAGGGGCTTTGCCCTTACCGCCGAGCCTTCTCCGGGCCTTGGCGAGCTCCTCTAGAGTGACCTCCAGGCCCTCGCCCCAGTCTCCCTCCCCCATTTCTAGGGGAGGGATCACAGGAGGGCCCCCTTCCGCCCTCGGAAAGAGGGCGTTCAGGAGCCCATCGAGGGCCTGGGGGTCCATCGTCTCCGTCTGCGGGGGCGCCCAACGACGAATCTTTCCTATCGTCTTCTTGTACGGGCGCCCCCACGGATCGTCACCCAGGGAGCTCACTAATTGCTCCCAGGCTTCCCGCTTGGCCTTTCTAATGGCTTTCTTGAGGACTACCCTTGCGGCGAGGTAGTCCTCCTTTGCCCTTGTGGCATTCCCGTCTCATCGCCAAGTCCGCGTATACGCCCGTTTGGCACGGCCGGAGTCGCTGCGAAGTCTCGCAATCTCCTCCGACCACCAATACGCGGCCCTGCGCCGACGGGGGTGAGAACGGGGCATCGCGGTGTCGCATGCCGACGCCACTTTCCCCGTTATCTCCCCGGCCCCATCCAGAAGGCCGGGATCCCACTCACCTGGCTCTATGTGCCAGGTGGCCACAATGACAGTAGCCATGAACCTGTCCACATTTAGTCGACCGAGGGCCCATCTTTTGGAGAGAGGAAAGTTCCTCTCCCCAGGGTGGCAGGCCGACACTTGTTTTGGTTTGGGGAGGTGGAGGGCCCAGACTAAATATGTATGGTCAGACAATGTCTTGCCCTCCACCTCCACCCTCCATTCGGAAACCATCCTGGAAGCCGAAAGGGAGGCCCATGTCAAATCAATGATCGATGACCCCCCTTCCGGCTTTATACAGATGTCGGTGGACCCTCTGTTTAGCAACAATAGGCCCAATCCCGCCGCCCAGCCGATGACGACCTCGCCCCTGGGATCCCGTTGCCGGGGACTACAATCCCACTCCTCAGAGTGGACGTTAAAGTCTCCGGCAATCACGACAGGTCGGGGATGGCACTTGCGCATCAAATCCCCGATCCTGTCTAGGATCCCCTTAACGGGCGGGGTCGTCAAGTCCAGCTCTTTTTCTGTAGTGGGGGAGATATACCCCCACCACAGTTATCGGCCCCCAGTCGACCGCCACGTACGAGGACCCTTCTTCCCTTAAAACACAAGGAGGGGTCCCCGCTGCAGGGTCAACCACCATGGCCACCGAGCCATCCGGGCTGCCAAACCAGCATTCGCTGCAGATCGGCACGGTGATTGCGGCTCGGTGGCCACCCCCAGCCCGGCGCCCAGTTTCCGGATCCTGTGTACCCACAGGTCCTGGGCCCGGGCGCCGTGGCCGAGGTTAGCCTGTAGCACCCGGAGTGGTGTGACGGCTAGGCCTTACACGCCTCGTCCGGGCTGTCTACTTTCACCCCCTCTTGGGAGACCTCTGGCGGCTGGGCCGCCTCAGTCTCCCCAGAGGGGGCTTCGGCCTTGGTGGCTATGATCTCTTGTGCCTCCTCATGTGCGAAGGGCGATTGCCTATCGGAAATTCCTGCCTGGACCACTTCCTCCTCTCGGGGATATGAGGGGGAGTCGTCAACAACCACAAGGGGAGACAGGAGTGGATCACCCGCTCTCTCCCCTTCTACTAGGGTACTTGGGGGAGAGTCCGTAGACTGTTGGGTCCTCCTCGGACGATCCGCTGGTCCCGTCCTTCCTGTCTAGATCCTTCCGCTTGTCCCCTCGCCTTTTCCTCTGGGCCAGCGGCACGGTCACCATAGGGACAGGCGTCGAGGTCCTCTCCGGTAGTCCCCACGACACTAGAGAGGAGTCCCTTTCCTCTTGGTCCCTTTCCGGAGGGTCCTCCTGGTCCCTCGTTGCGGAGGAGGCCGGTCTGGCCTCCTCCATTGACAGGGTCCGGTCCTCGGGATCCTCCGGATGGGTTCGTGCCTCCCCTTCCTCGGGTCCCTCGATCACGATCGGCAGATTCTTCACTAGGCCTTCCCCATTCCCTGCTCTCCCTTTTCCTTCCTCGCTTTAACCCCGTTCCTCTTTTTGGAGGAGGGAGGTTTGCAGGCAGGCCCTCCGATCTTATGATCAGAGGGCCTACCCGCCTCGGCACAGACCGGACAACGAGCCGTCAACTGGCACTCTTTGGCGCGGTGGCCGGGGTTGCCGCAGCGGTAGCATAATCCGCTGCGGTCAGTGGTGCTGTCGCACCGCTCGCGCACATTCCCCGGTTCCAAGCACCGGTAGCATAATTTGGCGCGAGCGGGCAGGGCCGCAACCCCGGCGCGAATCTATCCTACCAGGACCCGCTCTGCGGCGGCAACCTTCGCGGCTGCCGCCAGCGGACACCGAACCAGTCCCCCACCGGGAGACGCTCACCTCGCCGCAGGAGATCTCCTCCGGCGCGCATCCCCCGGCGAGGGCTACTGCGGCCGCCACCTCGTCGGTCCCGGTTAGCGCATCGAAGCTGGTTAGTCGCAGCGCTTGCGGAGCTCCTCCGCAAGCCAGTCGGCGGCTGCCCCCGCCGTAAGGCCAAGCACCTCGACCAACATATCCCTGTTCGGGGCCTGAGTCACTCTCAGGGATTCCTGAATGCCTAGGTCTGTCGGCCTAATCCGGCGCCTGGCCTCTACCATGAACTCCCGATAACGGTCGAGGGGGCAGGTTATGGCGACGGCTGCACTCCTCGGCAGCTTCGGCTTACCCGGTCTCGCCCCCTTCGTCCCTTTCTTCGCTCCTACCTGATTGGTAGATGGAGGAGTGGAAATCTTCTTCGCCTCCTCCTTTCCCTTCTTCTTCTCCATCCTCCCTAGCACTCGGGACCATATCTCCTCCTTTTTCTTGATCCCAAGCGCCCATCCTAGTCCCGACTCGAGTCCCAGCCCCTTCAGTTTCTTGGCCGGGATCCCCACTCCTCCTCCTGGCTAGTTCCTTTTCTTTTTCCTCTAGGAACCTCGCCTTCGCCTTCCTCCTCTTCTTCTTCTCCTTAGCTCTCTCTTTCTTCCTGGTTAGGTCCTTCGGAACTTGTCGGGCCTGGGCCTGGTCTTCCCTCCTTCCATGGTCCTTCCCCTCTCCTTACCTTCCCTAACCTGTGCCGTCGCAGGGGTCCCCGCCCTCTCCGCAACCCGGCTCCCGTCCCACCCGTAGACGAGGTGAGGCTTCTGACGAATCAAACGCCCCACTTCACCGCCGGATGCACGGGCCGTGGTCGCCAGAGTGGCGTCGAGGTCCCTCTGCGCCTGCCCAGGCTCGGGTTACTCTGTTGGAGAGGGAGTCTCCTGCGGGAGTCTATCGTCAAAGACTGGGTAGACCCCCAGAGGGGCCCCTCCCTGCCCCATTTCCCCCCTCCCTAGGGAGGAAGAAGAGGTTTGAATTCTCGCCACTCTCCTCCTCTTCCTCTTCTTCTTACTTCTTCTCTCCTCTCTTACCTCTTCCTCCGTCGAGGTGGACGTCTCTCCGCTAGTCACCTCCGCGTACGTCCTTCTCTTCCTGGGTGGCTCTGGGAGGGGGTCTGGGTGGAAATCACCAAGGCCCTGCTAGCCTGAAGCTCCTCCTGGAGCCTCATGTTCTCCACCCGCAGTCCTCTGACCTCCTCCCTTAGCTCTTCTGCCTTCCTCCTCGTTTCCGATCTCTCCGCTCCCCTCTCGTCCTACTCCGCTACTCTAGCGATCAAGGTCGCTATCACCGCCTGAGAGGTGGCAGTAGCCCGGTGCAGCAGACTGATGAACGTCCCTTTGAGGGTTCTGGAACGTATCGCAACTAGTCTCACCGCACCCATGGCTCGACTCGCCTCATCGGCTAGCTCCGACGACCTTGCCTCTTTGAGGAGGTGCAAAGCGGAGGCGTCTTTGAACACCTCCTCAGCAGGCCGCTTATCCATCAAGGTGTGGATGATCCCCCTTTCGGGGAGACTCCACGCCTCCTTTTCCAGCCTCCTGAGATGTTCCTCCTTCCTCTCCTTTTCCGCTTTCTCCCTTTTCTCCCTCAACCCTACACCCTCATAGGCCGTGGGACGTCTCCCCCTCTTCTTCACGGCTGAAATCAAGGCCGGGACTGGGCCTTCAACTAATTCCACCGCCCGTGAGGATCCGCCGCTTGTAGAGGCACTTGCCCTCTTCATCCCCACGGTGTTGCTGTCAGTCGTCTTTGTTCCGGTGCCGCTCGCCTTGGCCAGCCCCTGTTGGCTGCAGCAGCGCTTCCCCCCAGTTCTCCGGACCTGGAACATGGATCCCTGAGAGAGGAGGACGTCAGAGTCGACCGGCCCTGCGATCCTCGTCCCCGACATTCCTTCCCTCTTCCCAGTCCCTGCAACCTCCTTCCCCGGGTTGGCCCCAAGTGCCCCCTTGTTGTTATTGGGGGCAGACTCCCTCTGCGTCCTCTCCGAGCAGAGGGGGCCGGACTTGCTGTCCCCTGGTACCGGTGTCCCCTGGCCCACGGGGACCCCGAACCCCAGGGACATGCTCGTCCCATGTTGGGTGGCCGCCCTTGTCCTCCTATCCGAAGGGCTCACCCTACCAGTCCTCCGGTGAGGACGGTAGTCCCTCCCCCCGAGGGCGCCTTGACGTGGTGGGGGGGGGGCTTGCGTGCCCTGGTGATGTACAGAGCTGTGCCGGCGGGGGCTTCGGCCCCTGGCAGATTCTACCATGCCGGAGAGGTCTGTACAGAGGGGCCAGAATAAGAGCGTCCATAATACTCCTGGATGGGCAGCTGCCTCCAAGTTTTATCCAGGGTCTGGAGGGTCTCATTCGTGGGGCCCAAAAGACTCTACAGCGCGGGCAGAGCGGGCTCGTTAGCCTTGGCAGGCAACTGGTCTAGGGGAAGGAAAACCCCGAAATTGCACTCGTGTTGCAGGGGCACGTAAAACCCCTGCATTAATGGAAGATGACGTCTAAGGAGAAAAGCGCCCCGGTACTCGGAGCCGGGGCACGGCGGGAGGGGGCGTACGGTCCCGGCACCCCCCATCGTCATCATGCGACGGGCCAGGCGTCGCGTGCCAGGCAGGTGCGCCGCCCGAAATGGTTACCGCCCGTAGGGAGGCGCTTTCGGACCTGTTTAGGCCGAGGGTGGGTCGGATTGACACACCGTCGGCCTTCGCAGTACCGAAAAGCGCTAAGAAAAGGAGACGCGAGGCGGAGGAATCCGCCTCGCCACCGTCGCAGGAAGAGGAGGCGCACTTCCCTCCCTTCGGGGGCGTTAGTTCCCACCGTGGGAGGGAAGGTGCGGCTCCTCATGCGGGTGGGGTAATATCTGCCACGCAAAGATGAGTGGAGCTCTTCCCGGGGGAGGAGTTCCCCCGGTCGAGGACGAAGAGCCCTCGGCTGGGGGGCTCCTCTCCAAAACGCGCGGGAGGGTGGAGCTCTGGGGGTAGTGCGTAATGCACGCCACCAGTGGGGTCTCCCGCCTGTACGGAGACCCGTACGGGAGGCGGAAAGGGGGAGGGATCTACTCGGGGAGGCCTTAGATGGTATCGACTATGTGAGGGCTCTCCGGGTAGATCCTTCTATAAGGGCAGCCAAGGATTACGGAGACCCGTGGAAGCACTTAATGAGGGATTCAGAGAGAGCATCCTGTATATTCAGGATACTCTCTCTGATTACAAAAGGTTGGTGGAGGAGGGCGACCCTGATAGACGACTTGGGGCCCTGGAAGTTCAGG